AGGCTCTGTGCTGACAGCTCAGAACCTGGATCCTGCTTCTGATTCTGTGTATCTCTCTCTCTCTCTGCTCCTCTCCTGCTCGTACTCTGTCTCTCTCTCTCAAAAATAAATAAACTTAAAAAAAAGTTTTTTTAATGTAGAGTGTGACTTCATCCAGAAGAAACTCTTTATTCTGTCTCATGTATGTCTGTGCTTCAGGTCCAGGTAATGATGAAACCAGGGATCTCTTGCCAGCAAGGTTTTCTACTTTTTCATGTTGTTCTGCCAACTAACTTCTCATTAAAAAACATTTTGGGGTGCCCACGTCACTCAGTTAAACGTCTGACTCTTGATTTCAGCTCAGGTCATGGTCTCACGATTCGTGAGATCAAGCCCTGCATCAGGCTCTGTGCTGACAGCATGGAGCCTGCTTGGAATTGTCTCTCTACCTCTCTCTGCCCCTCCCTCATGTGTGCATGCATGGACACACACGCTCTATCTCTTTCTGTCTGTTTCTTAAAATAAATAAATAAACTTAAAAAAAAAACAGTATCTTTACCTGGCAGGTATTCCAGCTAATAGAGAACCCAGCAAAGCAGTAGTATGTCCTGGGGTTCTTTGGAAAATTCCAATGCCTGGTTCTTACTTCCAGAGATTTTGATTTAATTGGTTTAGGCTAGGGGCACCTGGGTGGCGCAGTCGGTTAAGCGTCCGACTTCAGCCAGGTCACGATCTCGCGGTCCGGGAGTTCGAGCCCCGCGTCAGGCTCTGGGCTGATGGCTCAGAGCCTGGAGCCTGCTTCCGATTCTGTGTCTCCCTCTCTCTCTGCCCCTCCCCCGTTCATGCTCTGTCTCTCTCTGTCTCAAAAATAAATAAACATTAAAAAAAAAAAAATTTAATTGGTTTAGGCTAAAGCCCAGATGTTGGAACTTTTCAAAGCTTCCCTAGGTGATTCAAATGTGCAGCAAAGTTTGAGAACCACTGTTTTAGGAATATTATTATGAATGTTGGATGTTATTTTGTACCATAAACTTGCAGAACTATCTGGTAATTGAAGTCTTCAGCTAAAGGAATGACCTGTAAAAGATAAGTTTCTGTACCCAGTAAATTCACTCTCCCCGCAATCCTATTCGCCTTTAACTTGTATATTTTAAATTTTGTCGATCAGAGCCCCTGTTCCTTTCATGAAAGTTAGTTCACATCCATGGGTTTAAAAAGCCTTCTCTATCCTATATCTTCCTCTCTGCATTGCCTCTTTCTGATTAAACTGAAAGGTGTTTGTATTTGTTTCTTTTGTGTTGTAGTTACTCTGTTCATGGACCCAGGCATGAAGAATCTATAATGAACCTAATCCAGAAGGAAGTGGAAAAATGTGACTGTTTGAGTGGTTTTTTCATCATAATGAGTATGGCTGGGGGCACAGGATCAGGTCTAGGAGCCTTTGTTACACAGAATTTACAAGATCACTACTCAAACTCTTTGAAAATGAATCAGATTATATGGCCTTATGGAACCGGTGAGGTAGGAACATGTTAATTGAAAATTTTATATTTTGTGTTCTTTGCAGTGAAATAAGTGTAGGTTAAAGATTGATTTTACCCTTTCTTTGGAAATATTAATTTACTATAACAGGAGTCATTCATTATACAATATGGTACTTTTTGGAATTTTTAAAACAAGGACACCTCATTCATTTGGAAAGGTTTAAGCAAAGTTAAATGGATTGTTCACAAAAGTACCATCTTAGGAATCCACTCCTGGGTTAGTCCCTCTGGATATAGTATGTAAAGGAGGGACCTTGACCACATGTGGGGGTTCATCATGACATTACCAACCTTCAAAGAATTTTCCTTTCTTTCCATTGAGAGGAAATTTCTATATAGGCTAGTTTCTTGTTGATCAGCCTAGTAGGAGAAATTCTAAAATGGAGGTGAGTTAAGTCACTATAGGAAACGCTGTAGGAAGAAAGTATGATAGTAATAGTCACTGTTTATTAAGCCCTTACTATATACAGGACACTCTTTTAAGTGCTTTACTTGCATTCTGTCATTAATCCATACAACTCTAGGAGCTGATATAATTATTACACCTGTTGTACAAATGAGAAAACTGAAGCATGGAGAGATTATATAACTTGTTCAAGATCATATAGCTAAAAAGTGACAGAGCTGGGATTTGAACCCAGGCAGAATGCCCTTACGATCTACCCTCGTAATTGCTCTTTTCTTTTGCCTTTCTTATTTCTGACCTTTTTCTCTCCAGGTTATTGTTCAGAACTACAACTCCATTTTGACTCTTTCTCACTTGTACCGATCTTCAGATGCCCTCCTCGTTCATGAAAATGATGCTGTTCATAAGATCTGTGCAAAACTGATGAACATCAAGCAAATCTCCTTTACCGATATAAACCAAGTCCTTGCACATCAGCTGGGAAGCGTGTTCCAACCTACTTATTCTATGGAAGGCTCATATCACTACAGAAGAAATCCATTAGGTATTTGTCCTCTTGTATGTAACTTGTATGAAAGTCTTACGTTTTAAAAGCCTCAGTTATTCCTCCCTAGCTTGTCCCGTCTGTCTGAGGATACACTCAGATCTCCCTCATCTCAAAAACCTTCCTGAAGAACTACCTAGCTCTCCAACTAGATAGTTGGAAGTTTTGAGAAGTTACTAAATTTCTGAAGTGATAGATGCGCATTGGTTCTATTCTTCAGGATCCTTTTCTTCTTCTTCTTCTTTTTTTTTTTTTACAGCAACTTTGAGATATAATTCACACACCATATAATTCACTCATTTAAAATGTACCATTCAATTTTTTTTAAGTTTATTTATTTTGGGGCACCTGAGTGGTTCAGTTGGTTGAGTGTCCAACTTCGGCTGAGGTCGTGATCTCGCGGTTCATGAGTTTGAGCCCCATGTCGGGCACTGTGCTATCAGCTCTGAGCCTGGAGCCTGCTTCGGATTCTGTGTCTCCCCTTCTCTCATCTCTTCCCCTGCTCGCTCTCTCTCTCTCTCTCTCTCTCTCTCAAAAAATAAATACACATTAAAAAAAATTAAAGTTTATTTATTTTGAGAGACAGAGAGAGAGCGAGTGCACAAGTGGGGGAGGAGCAGAGAGAGTGAGAAAGAGAATCTCAAGCAGGCTCCACGCCATCAGCATAGAGCCTAATGTGGGGCTTGAACTCACCAACTGTGAAATCGTGCATGACCTAAACTGAGGTTAGGAGTGGGATGCTTAACCGGCTGAGCCAGGCGTCCCTACAATTCAATTTTTTAGCATATTCACAAAGTTCTACAACCATCATTTTTATCACCCCATTAAGAAACCCATCATTCTTTTTTCAGCTTATTCATCAAGTGGTGCCATATCAATCCAAATCATCTAGATGCAAATAACTCCATAGTCTATACCCTTCTCGGTCCTAATGTCTTTCCCAAATAGTTGCCTATCCCAATTTTTTTAGTTGCCTTCTGGCTTCTTCAAGTTTAGAATGTTCTGAATAGATCCATCTTTTTTTTCCCCTGTCCTCTCTCCCCTGCTCCCTCTTCCTAAGTTTCTATCACCTGGATTTCTCCCACTGTCCTCATATCCCATCAGTATGTTCAGACCTGTTGGTGCCTTCTCTACCATCTGCCTGCATTCTTCCCCCTACTTCCCTATCTCTCTGACATTCACTCAAGGTGCCAGTATCTCTCAACTAATACTGCATACTCTCCCTGAACACAAAGCAAACTAGCCTCTTTCTATTCCTTCTCTCTCTCTCTCTCTCTCTTTCTCTCTCTCTCTGGCATAAAAACAGAGCTTAGATCTAATCAACATTCCTATCTGAAGGTGGTCCTAACCTTGCATTCCTTCCTGTACCTGCCTCATCCCCCTGCAGTCCATCTTGCAAGCTTACTGCAACAGAGCCTCCCCAGTGTGCAGATCTAATTCTTGTACTCTCTCGTGCTCATCCTATGGCCAGGTTTGCCAGAATTCCTTCGCCTGGCCTCCACATTATGCCCTGAAACCTAACTTTCTAGCTTCATTACCTACTGTCTCCTCTGCATGGATCCCCACCTACTTTTCATCCTGTCTGCACTGTCTCTCTTCAGTCCGGTGCTTTGCAGCCCAGGTCCCTTTGTTCAGTGTTCCTTCTCCTTAGAAATCGCTTCCTCCTTCCTTTCTTCACCTCTATTAAAACCTTATACATCCTTCGGTGTCCCAATTCAAGTGATAATTTTTCTGTAAAGCTTTCATACTGAGGTCTTCACCTAAAGTAACCCTCTTTTTCTGAACTTTAAGGCATTCTCTATCTCTTTTATGTCACTTAATATTTTTTACCATTATTATTTCTTTAAGTGTGTTTGTTTATCTTTAAAAGTAACACAAACAGCACACCTATTCAACAAGTGAAAAACAATACGCAATCAAAAGTAAGTGTCCTTCCCACCCTTTCCCAGATGCTACCACTATAACTAACACCATGTGTTTCCTTAGAGAGGGATTCTGTCATGTGCATATTATGTAGTCCTACTAATGTGCAACTTCCTTGGAGACATGTCTTGTTAATTTCTGTGCATTCTACAGTACTTACTGTATTGCACATCTGTTCATTCAACCAATATTTATTGACTTCCTACTGTGTGCCAGGCACTATGCTAAATGTTGGGGAGCCAATGCAAGCCAATGCAGACATTATGTTCACTGTGAAATGTGAAAGACATCAAACAAATAAATTACACCAAGAATGTATAATTAAAGAACTCACCAACTGTGAAATCGTGCATGACCTAAACTGAGGTTAGGAGTGGGATGCTTAACCGACTGAGCCAGGCGTCTCTGAAGTGCTCTGCACTCTGAAGTGCTCTGAAGGAAAGAAGTCCAGTTTCAAGAGAATGTGTCACAAAGGAATCAGACTTAGACTGCAGGGACAAGGAAGACTGCCCTGAGAAATTAACACTTGAGCCAAAAGCTGGTAAAGGACTTGGAGATGACTAAGCCAAGGGAAGGAGGAGGGAACAGCATGCGCAGAGGTCTTGCAGCAGAAAGAATCCTGGCACATCAAATAGAAATCCCATGACCCCGTAGCACAGAGAATGGTAAGGCTAAAGTGGTGAGCAGGGGTAGGCCTTGCAGATTCTCATAAGCCATTTAGAGGCCTTCCTCATTACCCTAAGAATAGGGAGAAGCCGCTGAAAGATTTTAAGCAGGTTGGTGACATAATCACTTTTCCTTTTGAAAAATCCACTGGACTTCTGTGGATAGCTGATTGGAGGTGAGTCTGTAGGCTGGTCTAGTCATTCCCTGCAGAGATTGTGGTGGTTTGAACTCATTGAACTGCACTGAGAAAATAAAGATGGTTATTAATAAAAACTCCCCCACTATGTGCAAACCTTACTGTGCACTTCACCTCACAATTTGCACTTCACCTGGTGTCACGGTGGGAGAAGTGTCCTGCTCCTGTCAAAGATAGCTCTCTCGCTTAATTTCTGGGTCCCATTCCCTCTCCCTTCTCAGGGACTTAATTCTTCACTCATCTCTCGTCCTCCCCTGTCATAAACTTATGCCTCTTTCCTGGATTATTGCCATTACAACTATTGGGCATCTCTTACACTGAAAAAATCCTCCCTTGACATCACCTCTAGTGATTGCACCCATTCCTCTGTTATTCTTTAAAACAACGCAAGGGTGTGTGTCCTTGCTGTCATTAGCTCCTCCTCATCTCATCATCTTCACCCCCTCTGATCTAGTTTCTACCCCACCATGTCTCTGAAAATGCTTTTTATAAGTCACAAGTGTGTCCACATTGCCAAATTTAGTGGACACTTTGTTGTCCTCATTTCCATCAGTAGAATTTGGCATGGCTGATCTTTGGTCTTCCAAATCTTTTGTCTTTTGTGACAGCCCTCTTCTCATTTTCCTTTTATCTCACTGACTACACCTTTTATTCCCTTCTTTTCTCCTCCTTTGGCTCCTTTTCTTTTTCCCAAGCTCTAAATGCTGGTCTTAGACCCTCTCCCTGATGACTGGCCTAGTTCCATGGCTTTAAACACCATTTGTATTCTCCAACTTGCTGGTTTATCTCCAACTCTGACCAATTCCCTAAGCTCCAGATTTCTATAACCAGTAGCCTTTTCCTGTATGACATTTATATGTACACATTTCATGGACATCCCAAACATAATGTGTCTAAAACAGAGAGCTTTCCCCCAGAAGCGCATTTCTTTCTCACTCCCTCAGTTACTCAGTTTTAAAATCTTAGATGCAGGGGCCTGGGTGGCTCAGTTGGTTAAGCATCTGACTTTGGCTCAGGTCATGATTTCACAGTTTGTGAGT